TCAGAATTCCCCAGCCAGCCATGCTGGCTGGGGAATTCTGAGAGTTGAAGTCCACCCAACTTAAAGTGGCTGAGGTTGAGGAACCCTGCTATAGGGCCAGCCAGAGAAACTCCAAAGCATGTCATGAGTGCAACAGCTCTTTCCAACAATAGCTCTCCACCATCTGTAATTTAGAACTGACTTCCTCAATACCCAGAACTTCTTTTTTTTTTTTGGTATCTTGGCTAATAGCCCCTGATAAACTCATCCTCCCACTGTTCTTCTGCAAATTTGTCAATAAAACTTGACAACCAAGGTAACCAAGATTTGGGCTCTAAAATTCCAGACCACCGTGATTTGGCAGCAAATCTGGTGCCATCTAGGGTTGTCCAGATTTTTGTAACCCAGCTCTCATGGTCTTACCACAAACAAGTGTCTGCTACTATTTCTAGTAGAAGTGAGATCCGTACACAGTTTATGCATGGCGTACAATAAACATTTGCAGTTGTCCAGCTGGAAATGGATTGTTAATCACTTTTCACAGTTTATATGCTTCTTCCACATTATCTGTCCTCCTGCAGTTAAGAGACGAATTGTACACATTGGATCAGTTTGTACAACATGCTAGATGAGCTAAAATGGGAAGGGTAGCTTTTTATTCAGCATGGTATGGTGCAGGTATTCATTACTTTAGCGTGTTGCATAAACCAGTCCATCAAATTAAAGCATAAAATGCCTTATGTATTTAAATGTATCATGCTATGTGAACATAGTAATTGTGTTTTCTTAACTTGAGTTAGGTGTTTTATCCAGCTAATTAACTCAGTGGGGCTTACTCCCAGGTAAATATGTCTAGGATTTCAGTTTTGGGGTGATTCACACTACATGTTTAATCCAACCAGTTGAAGTTGTAGACTACCTTTGCATGGTATACAAAGCTTGCTTCGTTTTAAGCTTGCTTTGTATTCTTGATGGCTTAGCAAGTTGTACAAACCCAGCCTCTTTGGTTAGGTTATAGCCAGAATTAATTAAGTATGTTGTGCAAACACAGTCATTGTTTTTGTTTTTTTTCAACCTAGCTAAAAAACTCCAAATGCTAATCGGTATACCTTAGGAAAAGGTGAGTCATTGTGTTTTGAAGTTACGGGTACAGCAGAGTGATGAACTGTTTGGACCTTGCAAATTGAGGAGAATAATTAATTGATTTGTTTAAAGCAGTTTAAAATTGTAGCATACCAATTTTAAAATGTATTTACTTACCAAAAAAATAGTCTTAAATTAGTAAAATAGTATAAAAATAGTAAAAGAGAACAGCAAAGCACATAAAATGATACAAGAATACTATATATCTCAGCTTCCCCTCTTGGGACAGCTCCCCAAATTCTCAGTCAAAGGCTGGTTGGGAGTTCTGGAAATCTTAGCACATCTGGAGGGTCCTAGTCCAGGGACGTCGGTATATACAACACAAGCCCACACTCCAAAGTGTGCTTGAACACAGGGAGAAAAACCACAAAACTGAGCTCCAAGACAAAGTGGGAGGCCAGCCTTGTCATCCCCGTAATGGAGATAGGGGGCTGGGATAGGGAGAGTGTACTTGCCCCAAGACTATCTTCCAAATCCTCAGCAGAGAAATCAGCAGCTCAGATTCTGGATGGCGGACAAATAGGGCAGGGAGGGTGTTTGTTCCTTCTGGTTGCAGGAGCATCTCAATGTTGAAGGCGCCCAATCAGAGAACGCTCCATCACAGCACGGAGGTGCTGAAAAGGGAGCCAGAGCAGCTTGGCAGGTGGGGCCACTGGAAAGACAGGCTTCTGAATTATGGGTCAGTGTTTACACAGCAGGTTGAGCTGTGAACTGTGTCCCAGAGCCAATTCTCCAGGCAGGAAGGAAATGAACTGGCCTAGTTGCCTCACTTCAGCCCCCCCCCAATAGTCCTCCACACCCCAAAATGTTGCGTTGTATTAAGCTGCAATGGAAGATTCAGAGGTAGTTAAGTTCTACCAGGGTCTGTACCTCCTGCACTGAGCACTGGATCATTTGGGGGTGAAAGACAGAGGCTGTCCAATATGTTAGCAAA